GAAAACGCAAATTATCATCAGCAAGAACAAGAAACTCAAATCTGCGGAAGCACACCAAGGTAAGCTGGGACGCCTGTATTTTGCATTTGTTATACAATTTAACGTTAGAACCAAGTTTCTCTTTTCTTGAGAATAACAGGGGAAACACCCGAGTCAAAAGGGAGCTTTCGTAGATCGCTTCTTTACCTTCGGATATCGTAGCGGAGGTAGACGCTGCCACTGAGCATGCGCACCGTTAGCTTTGTCTGCACAATTCCAGGGATCATTTCCGGAAGCCGGAGGCTAGTGAGATAACTGATGTGGTTGCAGCTTTCGGTGCCTTGTCAGCTTACGGGTGAACAGAGCGCACCCACACTCTTTCTCTTAAATACAATATTTCATTTTTACAAGGACTACCATAATACGGGCGTATGAGCAATGAAAAGTGGTGTTGGAGTATATTTTTGAAAAATATCAAAATGTTTTTTATTGTTTTTTGGATAAGAACGCGGAAAAAGTAACATGAAAGTAATTTGTAACGTAACGAGTAAAGTAATCTGTTACTTTTCAGCGAAAGTACCGGTAATCCATTACATTTGAGGCTCGGTAGTTCGTCATTGTCATCCATTACATTTTTCAAGTAACGAGCACAAGTCTGACGGGATCGTTCCATAGTTGGTCGTGATTGGCTATTTCCGTGTTCTGTGTAACTCGCAGACTTTCTTCAAGGCCGACGACCAGACTCGAGAATCTGCGAAACAGAAGATTCTCCTCACCATGGGGGAGGAGGAAACTGGCAACTGTGGACAGGGTAGAAGGAGGGAGAGGAGGAAGCGGGGGAAAAGTGGAAAGGGCGAACTGGTCGTCGGTCTAGACGCCAACGCGCTGCTTAAAAACAAGCCAGCGTTTGCCCGTACCAGGTGTGAGCAACGCGCGTGCGCAGAGACCAGATACCCGTGAGGTGAATTGTGTGCGGAAGCCCGTGCGGACAGCTAATGAAGAAACTAGGAATACCGTAAATGCGATGTACGCAGAAACAACGAAGCGTGACGTTTTACTCGCTCAAGCACTCACTCCCGACGCATTTTGCCGTTCTTATTGTATTCAGAGCTACGACATTCCCTGGGAACCTTCGGTTGTTCACGATGACTGACAACCTTTAGTGTTTTTTTGTTTTGTTTTTTGCTGAAAGTGGACGCATTTGCCTTTTTCACACCCTCAATAATGCTCGGGCGTACGCTTTTCCGCGGAGCAATGGGAAAGCCAATCGCGGATGTAAGTACGGAATGGACTAGGCGATCAACCGGGCCCAAGATATGTCTAGACCTAAGAATGAAATGACGCCCGGCATAACATTGACGGGTGAGATCTCACGCTCGGTGTGACATCGCACACTATCTTTAGGTCTAAACACACTTTCGGCATCGTTCTTCGACGAGCTCCATCCCTCCACAGATTGCAGTGATTGGACCTCCGAGTGCTCCGCGGGAAAGTACTCGCAGAGGTAGTTTTTGAAGCGTATATGCCGTTTTATCGTGGGCAGCGCAATTTTGAGAGCGAGAGATAAGAGGGGAAATCGTCACTTTCCCTTTTGCTAAAGTCACTGGATCTGGGAAAGTAGCGCCAGTGCATAGCCACCTGCTAGCCGGACAGAAACAAATACCAGCATACATACGGAAAAACCTCTCAAGGCGATTGGCTCATCGCTGTTGGCTACCATGGTGACCGCCATTTTGGACCCTTTCCAGGCTTCGAAGCTTCGAAAGGGCCTTTAAAACCAGTCACGCCAAGATCGCCATGGAGCATCACCATACTGAAAGCGTTCCACGTCCGATATGAGCGTCCTTGGCAATGCGCATGCAATAAACTTATCACTCATGCTTATTTCCCCATATCTCTTACAAATATGTTGTTCTTGCTTGTTTCAGGACATTGAAATTATCTTTCAATGCCCCCAAGCACCGACGCCGCGTGTGTTGCCCTACACCTTCGTACCGCCATTCACACGCAACGTCAGTGCTTGGAGGCATTGAAAAATAATTTTACTGTCTTGAAACACACAAGAGAAACATAATTGTAAGAGATCGGGGGAAATAAGCATAAGTGATAAGCATAAGTGATATGCACAGTGCCAAAGGCGCTCATGTTGGCCGAGGAACGCTTTCACGACGATGATACTCCATACCGATCTTGGTGAGACTGGTTGTAACGACCCTTTCAAAGCTTTGAAAGAGTCCGAAATGGCGATCACCACGGCAACCGACAGCGATCAGCCAATTACCTTGCGAGGTTTTGTCGTCCGTACGATGGTATTGATTTGTGTCCGGCTAGCAAGTCGGAAGGCAATGGCGCTACTTTCCCAGATCCAGTGTCTGTGCCTTTTTCTGGTGCGTAAGAAAGAGTGAAAGTCCCGGTTGAGAGGCTTCGCCGGTGTTGGGTGTATGCATTCCCCGAAATTCGTTCGTGCTTTTTTCTCTGCTTTATACTCCCGAACTTAATTCGAGCCATGGGCTTGATGGCGACAGCCCCCGGTTAACGGGACACAATTTCTCGGTGATCGGGTACACGAGTAATGACAGAAAGCGTCGAATACTGTCCGAGGACCTAGGTAGCTTCCACGGATTCCGGCAAGCGCGGCTACAATGTCTTGAAGCTCCATCGCTTTCCACATGACCCCGATCTCCGGCGACAGTGGGTTTCGTCCGTAAACCGAAAAGAATTTCCCTTAACGTCATCCCCTCGACTGTGCTCTGAACGTTTCGTGAATGGAGCGCGCACCGAACGCGTTACCACCGAAGTACATGGGGTACGCTCGCAAGGTGCGTGCAAGTTTTCGAGTGATAATTGCTGTTTCAGCTTGTAACGTATTGTAACTGAATTTATCTTAATATTTATATGTTGAAGTGACGACACTGACTCGAATTTGCTATCTGCAACACTTAGTTGAAGGCTCATTTCCCCCGCCAGGTTTGGCTAGAAATTGCCGAGAGGTTAGTTCTATTGGCTCTTCTGAATCGCAATCTCCTGCGCGATACCGGAGAGCCGTTAACCCATGTCGACCCTCACAACGCAAATATATTCTTCTTATTTTCAAAATTAGTACATAATGTAGCTGGAACGAAACCTTCAACTACTATTGCTGAAAGTTGAAACATGCTCATGCATCGATTACAAATCGTTGAACCATTGATCGACTCGCTCCGGCACTAGGACTTTGCTGTTTTCAGTTCTCGACAAAAACCCCACTCGAAGACACGGGATCCTCAAACAAAATGGTTATGGACACGTTCAGGCCGGAGTAAGCTGCCTTCGATTGTTCCCGGCAATATTCTTATTTCGCGTGTCCTTGCTCACAACATATTTCATTGTTGTAAACGACACAAAACAAAACGCAAAAAAAAACAAAAAAAAAAAAAAACATTCTCCGTGTTCTGCATCTAAAACGACAAAAAACCAGAAGGAAAATTTAATCATTGCCAAACGATACAATAATTAGAGTACAAGCCTTTGATTTCTATCGGTGGCGCGTTCAGTGCCGCACTTCTGGCGTCGCCGCACTGACGGATGCCATAATGCGGGGCAACAAACATTCTCAATGAGTTGAAAAACGCCATCTGCGGTACACAAGAACACGAGACGCGCCCTAAGTCAGATACCCAGCACTTTCGGCACCCAACGCGGGAGCGGTACAAGAGCAGTTTTGCCAACGTTTCTAACCACTGAGCATGACCGCGGAACCTGACGCTCGCTAGATGGCCCTACAGTATTCAAAATGGCGCTACCCACGATATAACAGTACACCCGTTTCATCCTAGAACGATCAAAGGCAGCTCATTCCGACTTGAAGGTGTTTATAAATGTTTTATTTTAGGATCCCGTGTCGACGAGTATGTCTTTTGTAGAGAACTGAAAACAGCAAAGTCGAGATGGGCCTATTCCCAGAGCGAGTCGATCAATGATTCAACAATTTGAAATCGATGCATGAGCATGTTTCAACTTTCGGCAACAGAAATTGAAGGTTTCCTTCCAGCTACTATATGTAACTAATTTTAAAAATAAGAATAATCTTGTAGCGTTGTGAAGGTCAACATAGGTTCATGGCTCTCTGGTATCGCGCAGGAGATCGCGATTTAGGAAAACCGAAAGAACTAACTTTTCAACAATTTCTAGCCACAACCGGTGGTGAAAATGAGTCTTCAACTAAGGGTTGTAGAAAATAAAATTGAGTCAGTGTCATCATTTCAAAATATCAATATTAAGATAAATTGAGTTACAAAAAGTTACAAGCTGAAACAACAATTATCACAAGAAAACTTGCACGCACCTTGAGATGGTACCCCATGCTCATCGACGGTACAGCGTTAAGTTCGGTGCGCGCTCCATTCACAAAATGTTCCGAGCACAGTCGAGACAATGGCGTTGGGGAAGAGTAGTTTCGGTTTATGGACGCAACCCACTGCCGCTGGAAATCGGGGTTAGGTGGAGAGCGATGGAGCATAAAGACATTACAGCCGCACTCTCCTTGCCGGGTTCCGCGCAAGCTACATAGATCCTTGGACAGTATTCGACGCTTTCTGTCATTATTCGTGTACCCTATAATCCAGCATTGCTGCCCCGATAAACGGGCAACTGTCGCCATGTAAGCCCGTGGCTTTAATTAAGTTTGGAAGTTCAAATTAGAGAAGAAAGTGCGAACGAAGTTCGGGCAATGCATACACCCCATCACCGGCAAAGCCTCTCATCCGGAACTTTCACTCCTCCTAACGCACCAGCAAGGAGGAAAGCGCCGGTACCCCTTTCCCATTTTTTCTCTCTCGCCCTTTTTCAATAAAACGGTCTATATAGAGCAGCCACTGACAGAAACTGAGGGTGTGGTTTCTCGTGCTTCTGACTTCGTGGTTCGGCGTTCTTAACTACTCATGGCGCTCTCTCGGTGGCTGAGGACCGATCACAAGATAGTCGGGATTTGCTTTGCCCCGCGTTTCTTAAGTACGAATCGCATCCCAGCAACGGTCACTTACCCTTCATGCAGTGCGCAATGAGGTCGTTGGCGGCCAACTCCGTGACGCGCTTGTCGTCGCAGAGGTTGGCCAGAGGCAGGGCGGCGGGGGTCAGGCCGGCGGTGGTCAGGCCGGCGGTCTCGGCGAGCTTCCTGAGCGCCGGCTCGCTGGGCTGGATCAGCGCCACGATGAAGGTGCTCAGGGAGCTGCCGATCACGCACACGTTGTCCACCAGTGGGTGTGTCTTGAGCACGGTCTCCACCTTGCCCAGGGACACGTACTCGCCGTACTGCAGCTTCACCAGGTCCTTCTTCCTGTCTGCGTTACACGATCGGGGCGGCACACTCGAAAATGATGCTCCAGCATGCTGACAAGGACCGGGGTGCGAAGAACGTGCTGCGCGTGAGCTGGGCACGTGCTATACGTGTTTGTGGCGCCTCATGAAGTCACGTGACTGTGATGTCACCTGACGTCACGGTGCTACATAATATTATGAAGTCACTCTCGACGTCGCAGCTAAAGCCACGCCGCCTCATAACGTTGCGCGACGTCATCGTGTGACGTGACGTCGTTCTATCATGACGTCACGCGACGCCATGACGTCCTATTGTCGTTACTTCATAGTGACGTCACACACTCGTTACGTCACATTGCCGTGACTTTACTCTGTCAGGCGACGTCACGGTCTCACACAATGTCACAGTGTCACGCGACGTCACGGCGTCACGTGACATCACGGTGTCACGTGATGTCACGATGTCACGTGATGTCGCAGTTCTCCGTGACGGTTGATCGTGAGGATTTTCTCGAAGAATTCGGCAGATAAGACATGTTCTGGGCTGAAATATTTGTGAATTCGCTTTCCCACGGAGCACCGAGACAGCCAAGTACGGCGAGGGAGATCGGTGGTGGCCGATTGTGGTAGCGTACCGCAGTACGAAGCACGTGGAGCGAAAGCCCATGTCGCAGAACCCAGGTATCCCGGGTTTAATACCCCAGCCTCTGCTCGCTCCGATCTGGATGAGCATCGTGCCAGCGAGAGGTCGTGTATCAACTGCGTGACGCACGTCAAGACTCCATGGCTATATCAGCTGTACTGCACTGGCTGAATTTCTGATCCACAGCAGAGATACCAGACGCCTGCTGGGGCTGACCAACTTCCCGCTGTCCAACCAAACACAGCCAGCGATAGCTCACGGGATACGCAGGGTCTGGCCAGTCCCGAGCATCGTATATTGCATCACGATGCAAGAAGCCTGATTACGATAACCCTGCCTTTATTGAATTGTCACTGACTATACAGAAATACCTCTTTTTTTTAACGTGAAACGTTCTCTGGATAGGTGTTCGGCCTTTCATGAAGTTCAGATAAAAGCATGGCCGCGAGGTTCGACGGGGGTTGGTTAAAGAGTAGGAGAGGAGGAATGGAGCTTCTCGACGCTGATTGGTTAACGGGGAGATTATACGACCTCAGCAGTAGGCGAGAAAAAGTGTAGTAGGCGAGGAAGAGCTCGACCACCTGTGCGCACTGAGGGAGAGGAGCTCGCGGGAATGGAGGGCTCTGGAAGGTCGCCAGGTTTGTTATCCCGATCAGCGGTAGTATCGCTTCATTCTGCAGGAACAACTATGAAGTGGACACATCGTACCCGTTAAACTATGTGATGAAGAGCGCCGAGAAAGTCGGCGTGTGGCGTCTGGATACTCAGAGTATTGCTAAACGTTCGTGATATGCTAAAGCATCTCACGTACGCAACACCATTGCCTAGCGATTTGCCACAAATGTTTAGCCACGGCGAAAAATACCAAATTCGAAATACGATTACATCTGAACAAATGTGCAGGGACGAGAACGAGTGAAATCGTCAGGCTCATCGCGCCTGCTCAAGCGCATCGAATGTTCCACTCCCATCGTATTCCGAGCTTCGTCGTTCGCTGGTATCCCGGTATTGTGTTTGGCGTCATTACTTGTCTCGTATTTTGCAGGTGAGTGAGCTTACGGACCTTTCTGTAGCGACCTTTTTCTTCACTCTCGTGGTCGCCGACAGCTGAAGAAATACAGACCTGCCCAGTCCCTATAGCATCTTACCATCGCTTCGTTGCCAAAAACAAGATGGCTGCATCTCTCGGTGAAAAACACACACACACACAAAAAAGAATCATGAACAAAAAACGCGAGCACTATAAGTGGGCACGCCCCGAGTTTCTGAATTGAGCAGTTAATCCTGAGAGGCAACTTCGGCTACAAAGCGAGCGAGACACGAAACAAACGAGAAGGGCATCGGCGAAGAGACGGCGATATGAGCCATGGAATGCGGAAACGGCGACCTTGCATTTTTCAAAATAAATAGCGCGAAGTACAAACAGACGGACGGCAGAGACCATGAGGTCTATAGGCAGTGAGTGGAAGGAAAGAATGCTAGTGGAAGTGTTCGACACGGGAAAACATTGTATTTATTATTTACGATAACTAAATATAAATTACACAGTTTATAGTGCTTAACCTCCTCTTTGTGAATCTGGTGTTATATTTGATACAGTTTGTTTTTTTATGTTTTCGATGCAATGCACATGTCGAAAAAACCTTGCTATTGCGCACGCGTTGTGCATGGCAGCATACTTATAGGAGCCACGTAAGATAAACTAATTCGCTCCTTTTGAACCACCGAATGCAATGAACAACAAGAATCATGTGACGTTTACAGCCGTTGGTGGAAACGTCTCCAGTTTTCTGCAATGTTCCCAGCAAACTGGAGCAGCTCTGGTGCTTTCAGCCCCTCCGTGGCCAAGGCTGCCGCAGAAGCTTTTACGTCCTGGTCATAAGCTCTTCCCTTCTGAGGTAAGGATGCAACAAGATCAGCGTGCAGGAACAAAATTCGTCTTATGCCAAGACTCGTTATATATAGAAGCCGGAGGAGGGCGCTACTTCCATTCCGGGTTGCCAGCACCCTACTGTTACATGCCAGACTCTTTTTATTTCGAAATAACTAAAAATTTGCAAAAACGCTTGTTCCAAGGGGATAACAAAAGTTTCTTGCATTTTTCATAAATGTAAATATATGCATTCTTGCCAAACTTGGATAGTTGCGTTCTACACATTCTAAATACATACATGCCGAGTTTGGTTGTGATATGGCATTATTAAGATAAAAAAATCATTGTGCCCATAATGTAAAAATGGCCAAAAATTGCATTAAAAAAAACGGATTCGAATGTATAGCGATACTCGCTCGCGGCGGAAAAAATAATATTTTCTTAATATCAGGAAAAAATTGAAGCAACAGAAGACTGCGATGGAGAGGAGATGGCTAGGTCTTTGCCAAGGTGAATGTGATTCCTAGCGACTTCACGATTTGAAAAACCACGCACAAAAAAAATAGCTCAAATTTATGCCTTTCTAGGTGGCCCGGAGATGTCGAAAATTAGTGTTTAACTGATTTCGCGATCAGAACCGGCGCTTTTATTTTTATTGTAAACTATGAAGATTCGAAAATAAGAAAAAAAAGTCATGAAATCCGAAATCAAATTTTTTGATTTCGGTATTCATGATTTGAAATCCGAAATTTTGATTTCGGAATCACGGCCGGAGCGCCGTCTATCGCCGTCCCAATCAGACAAGAGCACGTCGCGTTGAAGCGAGCAAACGAGCAAGCCAGCAGATGAAAAATTGCTGTAGAAACCGCCATTGTTGGTTGTCGATGAATTGCGATAGCATTCGTCTGGGACAACCTCAAAAACGACGTCTAAGAGGACGTCCTAGAGGAAAACATCAAAGACAACGTCTAGGACGAAGTCTAGAACGACCCCTAGGGAGATCCTAATTATGAACACTAAAACGACCTCAAGGACGACGTCGAGAATGACGCCCTAAAAGAAGACGTCTAAGACGACCTCTAGGACGACGTCTAGTGCGACGTTGAAGACGACGTGGGGTACGGGGTCCTAGAGGACGACGTCTAGGACAAGCTCAAGAGCGAACTCAAGGATCTCTTGGATGACGTCAAAGACGACGTCTAGGACGACGTCAAGGTCTTCATGTCCTTCGAAGTGGGTGTGAATGGGAAGAGAGAATGTGGCCTGATATGGCCTACTGCGCGTACCTGCTGCGCATTAGGAGGGCAGAAAGTTCAAGAAATCAGGGGGGGGGGGGGGTATAGCTAAAAAAAAAAAAGCTATCACACTAATAAAAGGACGCGCGTGCACACTGCGCGGTTCACGGTAGCACGCAGGGCGCGCCGTCAGGTAGCGAAGCGATGCAAATCGGTCGGCGCTCCTGTGTTATCTGTGTGTTTTCCCTTCCCTAATCAAGTTTTCGTGACATCGATCTTCCAACTTTGCACCTTCTTCCAAGCCCGGTGAAAGAAGCAGCTCTACGCCAAAAAAGGGTATATTACTTACCTCCTTAGGGAGGTAACCGACTTGCCACACGGCAGCGGCAGCGGCAAACAATACAGTGTGTTTGATCACTTGCCTGTGACTTCCTGCAGATCTGACGCCGCAAATTGCCCCAACCACCGGCGAACGCTATCTACACCAAGTGGAAGTCCGAATCTGGAACCGTCATCCTTACGTGTCACCACGTGCCGGCGTCGGAGCGACACCTATCTCGACGACTCGACTACAAAAACCGCCAGCAAGATCTGCTTTCTTCACTCGGCAGCGGCAGCGGCAAACAATACAGTGTGTTTGATCAGTTGCCTGTGACTTCCTGCAGGTTAGTGCCCTTGTTATTGAAAGCCTTTCTAATAACTCCCGTGCTGCTGCTGCCGCTGCTGCCTTCGCCCTTTTCCTGTATTGTGCTCGCGTCCCGATGAGTGATGAAGATGACGATGTTTGTCCAAAGTGCCATGAAGTGTTATCAGATGACAAACCTAATATAACGTGTCCAGAATGTCAATTCACATATCACTTATGAACTTGCTGTGGCATCGCGGAATCAACCTTTAAAGCGAGAAATGTGAAGTCTCAGAAAGCCTGGCGGTGCGAGACCTGTAGTGTCGCGAAAAGAAGTCAAACCGGGAAGGCTAAGAAAGATGCCGAAATCGATGTGAACAGCTTGCTTACAAGCATGAACCTGAAACTGAACAGTTTGTTGAGTATGAAGGAAACCGTATCCGCCATTGAAACTTCTGTTCAAAACATGTCAGACCAGTATGATGAACTACTGAAGAGTGTTGGCCACCATGACAAAGACATAAAAAGTTTAACAAGACGTGTGGAAAAAATCGAGAACGCCGGGACGGAAGGACAACTTACAGAGTTGAAACGGGAGGTGAATTGACTGGAATGGCACAATAGAAAACAAAACCTGGAAATCCACG